TCTGATTGGAGGTGCACGTGAATAATCAAATCGATTGGTTTACCACGACTGTGGAGTCTCCACACGCAAACCCTCACAGTATGATCTGTGGAGACTCGACTCTTCACAGATGCCATGGCAAGCATTGAGTGTGGAGAACCCGCTCTCCGCAGCTCATCTTAAAAGGGCACTGTGGAGAATGGAGTCTCCACGCGTCAACCCTTCCAGGATGGGCTGTAGAGAATCGGCTCTCCACAGACGTCTTAGCAATCCGTGCCTGTGGAGAATCGACTCTCCACAGCTCATCCTAGCAGGGCACTGTGGAGAATTGAATCTCCACGTGACAACCCTTACAGGATGAGCTGTGGAGAATCGGCTCTCCACAGACGTCTTAGCGATCCGTGCCTGTGGAGAGTCGACTCTCCACAGCCCATCCTGGGAGGGCACTGTGGAGAATGGAGTCTCCACGCGCCAACCCTTCCAGGATGGGCTGTGGAGATTCGACTCTCCACAGACGTCTTAGGGTTCAGTGCCTGTGGAGACCAGACTCTTCACAGCCCACCCTAGGAGGGTACTGTGGAGACTGGATTCTCCACGCTCTGACCCTTCCAGGACGGGCTGTGGAGAATCGGCTCTCCACAGACGTCTCAGCGAACAGTGCCTGTGGCTCTCCACAGTTCATCCTAGCAGGGCACTGTGGAGAATGGAACCTCCACGCGACAACCCTTACAGGATGGGCTGTGGAGAATCGGCTCTCCACAGACGTCTTAGCGATCCGTGACTGTGGAGAGTCGACTCTCCACAGCCCATCCTGGGAGGGCGCTGTGGAGAATGGAGTCTCCACGCGCCAACCCTTCCAGGATGGGCTGTGGAGATTTGACTCTCCACAGACGTCTTAGGGTTCAGTGCCTGTGGAGACCAGACTCTTCACAGCCCACCCTAGGAGGGTACTGTGGAGAATGGATTCTCCACGCTCTGACCCTTCCAGGACGGGCCGTGGAGAATCGGCTCTCCACAGACGTCTCAGCGAACAGTGCCTGTGGAGAGCTGGCTCTCCACAGTTCATACTAGCAGGGCACTGTGGAGAATGGAATCTCCACGCGACAACCCTTACAGGATGGGCTGTGGAGAATCGGCTCTCCACAGACGTCTTAGCGATCCGTGCCTGTGGAGAGTCGACTCTCCACATCGCATCATGGGAGGGCACTGTGGAGAATGGCTTCTCCACGCGCGAACCCCCCCACGATGAGCTGTGGAGAATCGATTCTCCACGCGCACCTCAGCACACGCGGACCGTGGAGAATCGGCTCTCCACACGACGCCTGCGGTGATCAGCGTGAAGAGCTGCTCCTTCACAGATCACCCATTCTTTTGCTCTCCTCCACTCGTACTGCCATTGCCATTTTGGCTTTAGGTGTGACTTACTGTCCAGTTGCGCCGCACTTCCTTTACTACAGTTTGTTGTTGCTGGTGCTACGCTGCGCAATGGAGCTGCCAGTTGCAACTTCCACTGGTGCCGCTGGTGACCAGGGCAAACGGGTCCGCATTAGTCGCAAGCGGTCCGCCGATCACATAAGACCGCCAGCTCAGCGTGTTCGGACTTTGAACGACTGCTTCAACTGGGTCGGCAGCGCCATAGGCGCGCTCGCCCCTGCTGCCGGGCTCGACGATGCATCAGCGGTCCAGAGGGTTGCCAGCTGTGTACAGAGCAGAACCCTTTCGACAGCTTTCAGTGGTATTGGTGCACCAGAGCAAGCCGTCAGCTCGATCGCATCCTGCGTAAGCTGTCGCTTGTCTACTCCATGCAGTCCGATGTCGTGCTTGTACGCTGTGGAGATCGAGCAGGAAGCGCGCAGGGTGCTTCGCATGCTTGCCGAGCCGCCTGCTCACATATTCGTTGACATGAACAACTTCTGGGATGACGAGCGGGCAGCTGCAGGCGAGCTCACGGTTGATGAATACATGGTTTTGGTCAAGTCGGGTAAGGGCTTCAGCCTGGCGGGGTATTGCATCACCCACGACAGCTACTCTTGCGCCGCCGAATCTGCCGACGTTCACGTCGCAGGGCACCCGTGCCAGGACTGGAGTTCCCAAGGCCTGGGACAGAAGCACAACGGCCAAACGTTGGCGCGTGCAATGGCGCGGGCTTGCCACAGGTATTGGTTGGGCGACAAGGTATGGGTGAGCGAGAACGTGCCATCTTTCGACCCCGCACTGATGCTGACGACCTTAGAGGACAAGTACATCATCCAGACCACAGTGCTCGACACTCAGGAGCTTGGGTGGCCTCAGCGACGCAAGCGCCGGATCACGCTTGGCATCAAGAAGGACCTGATCATCTCCCGCCCCTGGGACGCGATCGCTCCCGCCACCACCACCCGGATCATTGACGGGTTGGCCTGGCGCGACCTCTTCGTTGCTGAGCCGAAGGAGTTGCTAGACGAGCTTCGGTGGGCTTCTTCTCGGCCGTCCTCACTCTATAGGCATACCGACGAGGGCCTCAGGGCGGCACTTGCCGCTGGCAGGCAGCACGGTGGCAGCGGTCTCAAGAAGATGCTGAAGTGCGCCGATACTGCCGCTGCCAACAAGGGCACTGCTCTTGTCGACGAGCTGGTGTCGTTGCACAGGAGGTCTGCAAACGCAAAGGCCATCCTCTCCTCCTCTCCTCCGCTCGCCTCCTCCTCCTCCTCCTCCTTCTCCTCCTTCCTCTTCCTCCTTCCTCCTGCCTCTCTCCATCCTCCCTCATCTTATCCCTTGCTCCAATTCATCCTGCCTCCTTCTCCTCCTCTCTTCCTTCTCCTCCTTGAGGCCCTCAGCCTCTGGGAGCTGGTGATCCTGTATGGGTGCATGGAGAAATACGGCGGAGATCAAACATATTTCCTGAACCAGAACTTTTTGGTGTGGCCACACCATGGCACGACAAACGTTCTGCCGACGCTCATCAGGAACATGTCGATGTTGTTCTCGGCCGTCAATGGCCGCTGGGTAACTCCCATGGAAACGTTGCTAGCGCAAGGGTTTCCAGTGATGGCGCCGTTCGGCGTCATTCACGCGCGACAGGAACGACTTCCACATCCCCGATCGCAAGCGCAGTGAGGTGTTGCACCAGTCTGGCAACGCGATGAACGTCCACAAGAGCATGGCGCGGCCTGGCCTTATGCGTACAATTACTTGTTCAATCAACCTACTCCGAGACCGATCGTTCGGCGACCGCGTCTGATCGAGTCGGCCCTGACCGCCCTGCCCCTCAAGCTGAGGAGGCACGTCAGACGCACGAGAAAGGGAGACAGAGAGAGAGAGAGAGAGAGAGAGAGAGAGAGAGAGAGAGGAGAGAGAGAGAGAGAGAGAGAGAGAGAGAGAGAGAGAGAGAGAGAGAGAGAGAGAGAGAGAAAGAGAGTAAGAGAGAGTTAGAGAGAGGGAGAGAGAGGCGAGAGAGCGACACCGAGAGAGCGAGAGGGGGGGCAGGGAGAGAGTGAGGAGAGAGATAGAGAGAGGGAGGAAGGGAGTATGGGGTTGATGAGGGTGCCCGCCCTCCCGCAGGAGATCGAACCGGCCGGAGCGGGGGCGGCGGCGGCGGCCGCGCCTCCTGTTGCCGCGCAGCCAGCTCAGCTGGGCCCGAACGGCGTTGACGTTGACTCCGACGCGGACGACGCTTGCCGCCGCCGCCACAGGGCGGCGCGCTGTTGATTTCCCACGCGGAACGTGCGCAACGTTGCAACCAACTGAGACCAACTGATGTTTTGGTTCCGAGGTCCCTTGGGCCACCGTTCTGAAAACTTGTTCCACCCCATCGCCTCCTTCCCTGGGGGCCCTGTGAGGCCCCGCTTCCCCTCTTCCCTCGGACCCTCGGAGATGCGACTTGCCCACGTTGCGTTGCCCTTGGAAGTGTTGTTTTCTATTTCGAGGCCTGATCGCGCTGACCATAGCCCGCTGTCTCAGGGGCTGGCTGCCGTTCGGGCGAAGCCGCGAAGCCGCCGCGTGAATACGCAGCCGCAGCAGCAACCAGGGTCCAGGAGTCCAGGAGGTGGAAACCATCGAACATAATCAGTTCTCACAAGTTGTCACGTGTCCCGCAGCTCAAGAATCTATCTCAGGAATCCCCTCCTTCCTCATCCTCATCCTAAGTTCGCAGTGTAAGTTGAAAACATAGCATAGCACAGCAAGCTTAAGCATAGCACGCATACCAACACATGCCGCTCGAGGAAACACCGCGCCTCAAGAACGCAAGAACCGCCGCAATCTCTAGGACTTAGTGACTTAGTGTAGGAGGGCAGGGTGAAGGAGGAGGAGGGAGAGAGAGGAGCCCCGAGGGGAGGAGGGAGGACGAATGCAGAGGAGGAGAATGAGAAGGAGGAGGGAGGAGAGGAGGAGAGGAGGAGAGGAGGGAGAGGAGGAGGAGCGGACTCGGAGGGGGACAGGCCCCTGCCAGTGCTTCGGCGCGCTGGCGCGCAGTCCTTTCGCCAGGGGCAGGGTGTCGTTGCGGTTGCGGGGGAGGGGAGTCCTTGAGAGCCCTGATATGGCCACACATCCACGCGCCTAAGCATGATTAGGGCTGGAGTCATTGAGCAGCCCCCACCGGAGGGGGCGATGGGCGTCGGGCAGGTTCCTTCCTCTCTTTCCTCAACTCAACCTACTCGTAGCCCGACCCCGAAGTCGAGCCAGGATGGCTCAGCGGATGACGCGGTTTCCTCGCGCCGTTGGTCGACGTCGGACAGACCGCCGACCGCGCGCGCGGCGAACGCCGACGTCAGCTAATGATGGTCGGCCGTTTGAAGCCGTGCGAGACATATCGGTGCGCTGACCGGGCTTGAAGGGTCACCTTGCTAGAGCAGCAGAGATTCTTCGATGAAACTATACCAAAACGCACACGCGCGAGGGCGCCAAGTGCGAGGCCTTTTCTTCACCGGTCGCGCAACTCCCGCACCGACCAAGTCAAGGCGCTCGAGAGGCACAGGCTCAATGCGCGTGAGCACACGACAACTCGTGAGACTTATGTGCGATCAATACTTGCGATTGGGGCAATGGTTGGCGTCCGTGGGCAATGCTGGGCTGTGCCGAGCGGTGCCAATGATGGTAAGTATCTTCTCATGAGCTCGGCCACGCTGGTGGAAGCCGTATACATCGCTTTCATGCGGGAACCGCGCAACAGGTATGTGCGGCGGTCTTTGTCGAACGGGGTCAGCAACTACTTGCTCTTCCGCCAGGAGACGCCCGACGACGTGCTGATATACCTGAAGGAGCTGAACAATGCCTTTCACCGCGGAGCTGGAACGTCTTTCCTCGAGACGATGGACCGCGTCGGCGACGCGGACAAGTCGTGGAAGATCTACGCCAGGGAGAAGCGCATCACGTCAAGAAGTTGCCCGTCCACGGGTCCTGATACATATTTGCAACAATGCTGGAAGCACGTATCCAAACAGTTCCCAGGGGTGTGGAAGAACAACTTCAGCTTCACGAATTCGAAGGTTATCGTCAGTGGGCTGGATCGCTTCAAAATGGGGAAACAATTCCTGGAAGCCATGTGTTCGTGTGTGAACTTTTGCCACCCGAGCATGAACACTGAGAAGATTCTGGCCTCCATTCGGGACGTGCTTGCAGAGATCACTAAGACTTTCAGTGAGACTATCCCCGAGTTTCATTTGATTATCATCTTGACCGAGGCCTTCAAGTTTTGCGTGCCCAAGGTGCTGTCTTTCGAAGATCCCCAGACGATGGCCCCACTTGGATCTGCGCCGACTCCGCTCAGACGGGCGACTTTATTATGAGACTTCAGCTTGACATGGGCGGTTCTGTGATGTTCAAGCCAAAGGCGAAGCCAAAGGGGAGGCCCAAGTCCAAGGCGAAGGCAAAGGCAAAGGGAAAGGCAGCTGCAAAGGCGGCAGCAAGGAAGGGGGCCGCCGGGGCCGCCGCCGACGAGGATCTCGACGACGAGGATCAACCAGACATGGCGGTTGAGACCATCGGCACCAAGATTGACTTGGCGGCCGAGGCGTTTGCATGCTCTGACGAGGAGGAAGGGGCGACTGGGGCAACTGGGTCGGCGGGGGCGCAGGTGAAGGCGCCACAAAGCCGCGAGAAGAAGTTCTTGGACGAGCTTCACAGCGCCGTTGTCGCAGTGGTTCGCAAGGTTCCCGACGAGAAGCTCAGTGTGGAGACCCTCCGCGATTGCTACAGGAACGGCATGCACTTCGCGGCGAAGTCGAAAGTTATCAACGAGCAATTGTTTTCCGACTGCGAGACCTGGACTGCGCTGCGAAGCACGATCCGTAGAGTCATGAGGCGGCATCACGGTCACGTGCTTGACTTGCTCTCCCCAGTCGACGTGGAGGCGGCGGGAGCATCGTCGCAGGGCAGCGGCAACCGCGGCGATGTTGACGTCGACATCGACCTGAAGGACCTGAACGTGCCTGATGGTAAGGACCTGCTCATCATGCACTACAGAGCCAAGTTCACGGAGTCCGTGTCAAAGGAGGAGGTCAAGGCGCGCGAGAGGGCAAGAGAGGGCACGCAAAGGGCCTTTTGGCAGTCTGGGGCCTCTGGGGTGGGGGTGGGGTAGGTGGGGGGGGGGCCCTTGGACCCTTCGACTCTTGGAGCTCTTGGAGCAGTCTCGTGGCCATCCTTCTGAAGGTTTAGGAACATCTGAGAACCTTAGACCTGCTAAGACCACAAGACAGCTAGCGAGTGAGGAGGCGAGGAGAGGACAGGAGCACGAAGGAGAAGGAGGAAGAGGTGGAGGAGGATGAGGAGGAGAGGAGGAGGGAGGAGAGGAGGAGTAGTAGGAGGAGGAGAGGAGGAGGAGGAGGAGGAGGAGGAGGAGGAGGAGGAGAAGGGGAGGAGGAGGAGGAGGAGGAGGCTGAGGAGGAGAAGGAGGAGGAGAGGCTGAGTAGAGGAGGAAGTGAAGAGGGCAAGGGTTTGCCGCTGCCTGCCGCCGAGGCAGCCGTGCGCAGCTTCGTGGACTCGTGTGACCTAGACCTGCCTGTGGATCTCCGGGGCTACTTCGTTCAGTGGTCCCAGAGGGTGCTCAAGGTCATCAAGCCGAAGCTCGACGTCACGACCAAGCGCCTAGACATCTCTGCCCTGATTGAGTGCTGCGCGACCGCTTTCAAGAATGACGGTGGCGTCTTCCTGCATTTGGAGGGGCTGATGCAGCTCTGCGAATGCGCCGAGGAGGAGGAGGTGACCACGGTGACCACAGTGCCAGACTATGCGATACCAGAAATTTGGGGAAATGATCAGCGATACCTCGACGCCGTCAGTAACTTCCGTGCCACCATGATGATCGCTGGGCTACCCAAGTTCGCCTCCTTCGTGAGCCAGCACGACTCTCACCTGCTGTCCAAGATGTCGGGCGATGCCAACCTTGCAGAGCTCATCAGCAACGTCGATGTGTGGCTGCATTGGTCGAGCGAGTCAGATTCGGCAAGCTGGTCGAGTTTCTGGCAGGCGCTCCTCCGCTGTCCCGACATCAAGAAGGCACAGCAGTTTGCAGATGAACGGGCCAAAAGGATGCTATCGGAGTTGGGTGCCAGGGCGACGCAGCTCCACACCGAGGCCATTGCTGCAGCCAAGGAGAAGAAGCTAGCCGAGGTGAGAGCGGCAAAGGCCCAGGAGGAGACGAGCGTCGTCGCGGTGGGAGATGGCGACAAGTCGGAGCCATCTCAGAAGAGGCAGAAGACTGACCAGCACGTTTCCGTGGCATCTATCCACGCAGAGTTCGCCCAGGCTGTCCTCCAGCAGCTCCCGCAGGGCGAGGACCCGCACGCGCAGTTCATGCCGACTTACATCATGCTAGCGCTGAGCAAAGCTGAGTCGAGCCTCATGACTGCGGCGATCTGCGGCCCCTTTGCGGATCAAGCGTGGGACTGCCTCTACACGGAGCACTCGAAGGTTGCCGCTGGGGATGCGCACTTGTTCGCGTCGCCGCCCAAGAAGACCATTCGCTTGACCTTCGCGGGGAAGTTGTCCCTCCTACCGGCGGTGGGATCCATCCATGTCGGCACTCTGTTCAACGTGAACATGTACCTCCGCCCTCCTGCCCTGAGAGTCCTCGCAGGCACGTTCTTCATGCCAGCGTGGCTGGTCAGGACTTGCAAACTCAATGGAGACGGCTTTCCCTTGGAGACACCGACTTGCGAGGTGCACGAGAAGAAGATCAGCGTCGAGTTCGAAGTTCCTGGGTTTCTGGGCGCTCCTGGGAAGTTGGTGAAGTTCGACATCAAGCACTTTTACGTCGTGCTGAAACCAGAGTTCGCCTCGGAGGTGGAGGCTGGCAGCGTGGAGATGATCCGCGCGCCCATGAAGGCTGAGTTGTGCGAGGTCTCGGATGCGTGGGCGAAGTCGCTCGTCGCGAAAGCCAGGGAGCGCAAGCCAGCGCCCAAGGCGAAGGCCTCCAAGCCGTCCCACACCGACGTGCAGCTATCCTGCAAGCACCTCCTGTCGTGAGGTCGCGAGGCGGCTCGGCGCCGCCCTCTGCTAGCTAAATAAGGCAGGGGGAGAGGAGGAGGAGGAGGAGAGGAGGAGAGGAGGAGAGGAGGAGGAAGAAGGGTGGAAGGATGGAGGGAGGAGTGAGGAGGATGCCAGGACGCGGACTCTGGCCTCTTGGAGCCCTGTACATACTGAGCTCGACTCGACTCGAACGCGCGGCGTCGGGGTAGCGCCGATTAGCGAGCGTGCGAACGAGCATCCAGACATCTAGCGAGGCGGGGCTCTGAGAGGGGCTCTCCTCCTCCCTCCCTCCCTTTCTCGCTCATCTCTCTCTTCCGACTCTTCCGATGCCGTCGCCGGCCGTCGCCCGGGCCTAGTGGCGGTAACGCGGCGGCCGGCGGCCACCGCCGAAGCGGCCGAAGCGACAAGTCGCCAAGTTTGTTTCGCAGACAGTTTCGAGCGCGCGAGCCCTGAGCTTCAGCAGCAGCAACAGAGATAGCGTCAACGTGGGGTTTGCGACACCGCTGCTAGGGAGCCGAGGATGAGGGGGGAGAAGAGGCGGAGGTGGAGGAGAGGATAACGAGGATGTCAAATCAGCAGCAGCTCTGCAGCAGTGTCGATCGCTCATTTTCTGTATAGCTTAGGAGTTCGATCTGGGCGCATTCCAGGCACGTTTTGGCTCGGCGCGGCCGACGCTCGAAAACAATCAATAAAACAATGACAACTGAACAACTGCCCAAAGGCCCAAAGGCTCCAGGATGGCCCGCTCGACCCACGAAGGCTCAGAGACATACGCTTGCCGCTTCGAGAAGTCTCTTCCTCCTCCTCCCTTCTCCTCCTCCTTCTCCTCCTCCTCCTCCGCCTCTCCTCCTCCTCCTCTCCACCTCCCCCCTCCTCCTTCACTTCATCCTGACCCTGCTCTCCTCCTCCGAGGCTCATGAGGTCACGAGGGGCCCTGGAGGCTTCGACTTGCCCTCGAGCCCTCGAGTCGAGTGCCAACCAAGGGTTTGAGGATGGAGGAATGGAGGAGGGAGGAGAGGCGGAGGAGGAGGAGGAGGAGGGGGAGGAGGAGAGAGGAGGGGGAGGAGGATAACTGAGAAGGATGAGAGGAGGAGTATGGAGGAGGAGGAGGGAGGGAGGGGAGGGGAGGGGAGGGGAGGAGGAGGAGGAGGAGGAGGAGGAGGAGGAGGAGGAGGAGGAGAGGAGACAGGAGGAGGAAGGAGGAGGAGGAGGAGGAGGAGGAGGGGAGAGGAGGAAGGAGGAGGAGGATGAGGAGGAGGTCGTAGGTCGTGTCGTTGTCAGTGTCGCAGTCGTCAATTCGTCAGTGTCGTCAGTCGTCGTCTCGTCGTCGTCGCTGTCGTTAACCTTCGTCGTCGTCTTCGTCGGCGTTCGGCCCAGATCGCCAGCGACGCCGCGGGAGGGGCCGGTCGCTTCCCCTGTTCCTCTGATAGGCCAGATGACGTTCTGCGCTGGAGCTTGGATCTGCGGGTTCGAGCCGTGAGTAAGCTCGCGCTCTCTGTTCACATGGGCTTTCTTGTTGGGGGGGGCAATGTGTGCGATTTGTGAAATGCGACGGCGGTGATGAAATCCAACGCGATTCCAGAAATTCTGGATCTGAATTATTGAAATAGCAGGGTAATTCATGATATTGAAGTGAAATACGAGCTTTGAATTATTGCAATTCAGAAAGATTAAGGCTGTGAGTTCTTGAAATTCAGAAGGATTCAAGCTGAGAGTTATTGAAATTCAGAAGATCTAATTTCAATGCTTTCAAAGCCGCTGCTCTTCACGGAACGCCCGCGAGGAGCGTGAATAATGGTTTTGGAGAGAAAAGGTCGAACCACTGATTTCCTTACAACTTGCATCCCTAGCTGAGGCCTGCCGTCTTGGGATCTCGCTTGCGCGCGAAATCTGCCCCAGGGGTAGGCTTTCGGGGGTGGGGGTGAGTGCTTTTCTTCGCACTCAGGCCTCCCCATGTTCGGTCGTCAGGGGCCCTTCTCTGGCCTGGTGCCATCACCAGCCGCGCGCAGAGGGGGGCGGGGGGAGGGGGAGGGCTTCTTAGCAGCACCCCTGCTTTGCTTCTTAGAGGCGCGGGCCTTATATCTACAGACTTATAAGGCCGGCGCCTTCTAAGAAGCAGGGGTGCTTCTAAGAAGCCCTCCCCCCTCCCCCCAACCCCCCTCCTGCGCGCCGCAAGCAGCAGAAGGCCCGCCGCGACCGGACCGAGTGCCCCGGGGAGGGGGCCGAGGGCTCGGGGGGCCCACGCCGCGACGAGAGCAACGACGCCCGCGGTGTCTGGGCCCGGGCTCTGGCCCTGGCCTGTCCTCCTCCTCCTCCTCCTCCTCTCCTCCTCTCCTCCTCCTCCTCCTCCTCCTCCTCCTCTCTCCTCCTCCTCCTCCTCCTCCTCCTCCTCCTCCTCCTCCTCCTCCTCCTCCTCCTCCTCCTCCTCCTCCTCCTCCTCCCCCTCCTCCTCCTAGGTGGCTCCGCAGCGAGGCCCCGCGCGAGCCGATGGCCGGGGGATGCGCGGAGATGGTGCACGGCGCCATCAAGTACAGTCGGGGCGCTGAATAAGGAACCCTTTTCGTTGGGGAGGGGCTCGGTGTTCCTTGATTGTTCTGGAGTTTGCCTGGGATTTTCCGGAGGTTCTCCATGGGAAGCCGAAGTTTAACTGATGGGAAAAGGGGGCCTCGTTCCTTATTTGGGGTTCCTTAGGTCAACGCCCCGACTGTAGGCAGCGGCTGGAGGCTCTCGGGCCCCCCGAGGGGAGCCTTCCGGCAGCTCCCTTTGGGAGCCTCTTCGGGGATCGCCGGGATATCCCTCCCCAGCGGCGGCCGGAGGCCTGAGGGGGCTGCCCGACAGCGGACCGGCCAGACGGGGGAAGCCACGCCCTCGCCCGTGTGCAGAGGTCGGGTGCCTGGGTAAAACAGGGCTAGGATCGGGATAAATCGCTCCAGAGCGTTCCGGAGCGCTCTCAGAGCGTTCCGGAACGCTCTGGAGCGGCCGCGGCGCCCAATACATCCTCCAAACCCGCCGATTCTCAGAGATTTCGAGTTATCCCGATCCGATTTTGGCCCGATCTTCGCGTCGTTTTACTGGGCGAGGCGCAGGAGCAGAGTTCCCAGGCCCGCGCCGTCCAGGGAGGCACCTGCCGTGCCTGCTGCCGGCACGCGCGCGGCTGTGCGTCGCCATAGCCCGCGGAGGAGGGCCGGCGGAGACGGGGGCGGCCCTCCGAGAAGCCCCCCTCCCCTGGTCTCTGCAGCGGCGTCGGGCGCGCGGTTCCCCCGTGCTTTCTCGACCTTCCTGTCTCAAAGATCGAGGGGCCGTCCGTTCTCCGGCCGTCTTCGGGGGCCATGCGAACCCCTGTTCACCTCAGGGACCCTCCTGCTGCCTCTTTCTTCCAAGCGACGTACGGGCGGCGTGCTCGCTTTCCCCAGACCTCCCACGGATTGATTCTTCCATCCAGTGGCCACAGGTCCCAGAATTCTCGACTCGACCCCTTCCCCAGGAGGTTTCTTGGCGGGTATCCGTTTTTCATGGCCCCCCAGGGGCCGAAACTTGTGGCACCGAAGCGCGAACCTCTCCGCCAGAAGCCTGGGCAGGAGGGGCGCGGGACACCGGCCCCCCCCCACCGAAAACGGCCCCATGCTTCTCCCGGGGTGCGCTTCGACCAGGATCTCGAGAGGAGTCCCGGCAGGGCGACAAGAGGCCTCCCGGAGACTCCCAGAAGGGGAGAAGCCCGACCCCCAAAGCCCCGATCCTCGACGTGAGGCGGTCGGCGCCGTCGCCGTCGTCGTTGAGGTCACAATCTGTCAGAATCGGTTCCTGGACTCCTCCCGGGGTCCACCCAGGCCAGTTGTTGATGACAGCCCCGGGGCCCGAAACATCGGAGACCGGACTCGGCGGCGGCGGCATTGTCGGCGCCGTCGACGGCGGCGCCGTCGGCGGTGGCGTCGTCGTGGCGGCGGCGTCGGCGTCGACGGCGGCGGCGTCGCCGTCGGCGGCATTGCCGTTGGCGCCGTTGGCGTCGTCGGCGTCGTAGGCGTCGTCGGCGGCGTCGTCGGCGTCGGCGTCGTCGCCGGCGGCGGCGTCTCCTGCCAGGCGGCGGGCGTTGCGCCGGACGCCAGCCAGCCGGGCACCCTCCCGCGCGCGCGGACCGCTCCGGCCCTGGGCTTCGTGAGGTCGAGCTGAGGCCGTTGGCGTCGCGGCCCGCCCTCTGAGGCGGGGATCTGGGCACGACCACCGCCCGGGGGATCGATCTTCGCCGACCTCGGCAGGCGGTGGATATGGATAGGCTCGGCCCCCCTGGGGCCCTACCATATCTCGGAGGGCCAGGCCTGCCTGCTTCTGGAGGGCCAAGGGCTGGGGCCGCTGCCAAATACCGTGCCCACGTCCTGGCCACAAGGGTCCATGGGCGCTTTGGGTGCCGTGACGCTCATAGACACTTTCAGGGTGGATACGTCCATGGACAACGTGGCCATTGCGTTCGGCGCGGTGCAAGGTCGGAGAACAGGTAGATCCATCTACGGTACGTTCCTGTTCTAGAGCAGGTCCTACACGGTACTACTCCAAACTATATCGATTTGCGAGGACCTCGGCAGGCGGTGGATATGGATATGGATATTGATCTGGATGTGGATGCGGATATGGGTATGGATATGAACATGGATATATTTATGTGCTTATGTATACTCATATATATACGATTATATTCATATGTGCATGTGTGTATGTATGCATGTAATGTAATGTAATGGAATGGAATGGAATGCAATGCAATGCAATGTAATGTAATGTAATGTAATGTAATGTAATGCAGTGTAATATAATGTAATGCAATGTAATGCAATGTAATGTAATGTAATGTAATGTAATGTAGTGTAGTGTAGTGTAATGTAATGTAATGTAATGTAATGTAATGTAATGTAATGTAATGTAATGTAATGTAATGTAATGTAATGTAATGGAATGCAATGTGATGTGATGTGATGTAATGTAATGTAATGTGTTGTAATGTAATGTAATGTAATGTAATGTAATTTAATGTAATGTAATGTAATGTAATGTAATGTAACGTAATGTATTGTAATTTAATGAAATGCAATGTAAGTCAATCTGATTGGTGTAGTGTAGTGTAGTGTAGTGTAGTGTAGTGTAGTGTAGTGTAATGTATTGTGATGTAGTGTAATGTATTGTAATGTAATGTAATACAATGTGATGTAATGTAATGTATGCATGCATGTATGAATGAATGTATGTATGTATGTATATATGTATGTAATTAAAATTTCGGCCCCCTGGGGCCCAACTATCCCCTGAGATGCGACGTTGCAACAACAGCAATTGCAACATTGGCGAAAGTCACGCCCAGACCTCTGGACCCCATCCTTCTACGTCGTTCTCCGAGCCGGATCGAGCCGTGAGGGTCCTGGGGTCCGACATCGAGCGAAGATGCCCGGCTCGAAAAGATGGAGTCGCCAGGAGCTCGGGGAGATCCAGATCCACCGCCCGCAGGGGTCCCTCTAGGCTTCCTAGATGGGGTCGGAGTAGATGGGGTCGAAGAGTCGCGCCGCATCGCCGATGCATCGCCGATGCGGCTCAATGCGGAGCCCGATTGGCTTCACGTCGACGTCGCCGATGCATCGCCCACGTCGACGATGCATCGCCAGTGCATCGCCGATGCATCGCCGATGCATCGCCGTTGCATGGCCGATGTGTCGGCCATGCGGCTCGATCCTCCGACCCCGTGTGCTCCGACCCCATCCAGGAGGCCTCTAAGGACTCAGGACGACGGTTCGCCGTCTCGCCGTCTCCCGCCGTCTCCCGCCGTCTCAGGCGGTGGCTATGGGCATGATCCCCGCCTCGCCGTCTCCGCGCGGAGGGCCGCGCGGCCGCCTCTTCGCGAGCCTTCGGGGCGCCGGCTGCCCTCCCTGCACAGGCCCATCGGGGTCTGCCAGGCCCTCCATTGGGACTCGAGCGGAGAAGTTTCGGGCTCGAGGCAGCGCTAAGTCGGGCATGTCCGTCTACAGGGGGCCAGGGGGAATAACCAACCCAACATACGAAACAAATAGTCTGGGAACGATTTTGTTCGATTTGTCAAAACATATTTTTGGACACGTATCGATTTGTTTGTTCGTCCAAACTCCGCTTGTAGGAGGACATGCCCGACCTAAAGGTAGCATCGATTCGCGTCGAGTAGCGTCTGGCGATCGAGGAAGCAGCGCCCATGCCGCGTCGATGAGAGTCGATTCAGCGTCGATCGCCGTCGACTGGCGTCGATGATAGCGCGGCCAGCTAGATGCCATCGGAGGCTCCCCTGAGTTGCCACCGAAGGTCTGCCAGGCCCTCGATCGGACTCGAATCGGGAAGGTTTCGGGCTCGAGGCTCGAGGTCTTCGGTGTTTTTTCGTCGCTCCTCGGCGGTTTTCCGGCCTCGGGGTGCTCTCCGTCAGCGGCGCCTCGCCGAGGGTGTGCTGAGGGTGCCGAGAGATCTGAAGAGGAGGAGGAGGATGAGGAGGGGGAGGAGGAGAGGGAGGAGGAGGAGGAGGAGGAGGAGGAGGCGGAGGAGGAGAGGGAGGAGGTTGAGGAAGAGGAGGAGGAGGTGGAGGAGGAGGAGGAGGAGGGATCGTCCCGAGCGGCCGCCGAAGAACCGAGTCATGACCCGACAGCCAGGGGGGCCACGTTCGGGGGGTGCTGTCAGTTTTCGCCCTTCGGGGGCCCCCACCAGAGCCCCAGGGAGGAACCCTTTTTGTTGGGGAGGAGCTCCGCGTTTCTTAAGTGTTTCACAGCTTGCCTCAGGCTTTCCTTATGCTTTCGACCGGAAGTCGAAGGTTAACTTATGGAAAAAAGGGGCCTCGTTCCTTATTTAGGGTTCCTTAGGTCAACGCCCCGACTGTAGTCCCAGGGGATGGGTCGAGGACCCTCGGGGCCCACGCTGTGAAAAAAAAACACGACGCCTCCTGCCCAGATTTCCGACGTCGTGAATTCTGCACGACGTGTGCCCCCCGGAGGTCTCGACCCCTTTTACCTGGCACTGGTTTTTCATTCTCAGTTGCTTCTGATGGTCTCGATTCTTCTCCTCCTTTTGCTCTCCTGCTCCTGCTTCCTCCTCCTCCTCTCCTCCTCCTCCTCCTGCTCCTTCTCCTCCTCCTCCTCCTCTCCTCCTCCTCCTCCTCCTCCTCCTCCTCCTCCTCCTCCTCCTCCTCCTCCTCCTCCTCCCCTCCCCATCGTCGTCTTTGTCCCTCTCCGCTTGACGCCAGCCTTGTGTATTGTGTTCTTGCTGCTTTGCATCCTCGCTGGCGGTCCGCGCGCAAGCCAATCTGGCGCGCGCGCGCAGTGCATGGAATAGACCTCTTGAACGGCATGCGAACCATCCGTGGGAGGAGCGAACCAGAGTCAATTGTTGGCTCTGGGTGGCGGAGATCCGCTGCGAGCGTCGTAGGCATCGTGCGAAGCGAACGCCGAAGGATCTGACGCGCAGGCAGCTCGCACGCACAGTGTGGCCTCGACTGATGCACCTCTTTTCTTGTCCTTCTATTCTTTGTGCCCCTTTTCCTGCAGTGTCCATGCGTTTGAATCCTCTGCCCACTGTTGCCAGCTTTGACTTTGCACATGTCTCTGGCTTCCGTCTCACTCTTCTTTCTCTATCCCTCCCTCTCTCGCTCTCTATCTTATTGCCTCTCTCTCGCCTCATCTACTTGTCCACTTGCCGCTTCTAGCTCTCACGGCGCAGAAGAGAGAGAAAGAGAGAGAGAGAGAGAGATCCCCCCAGAACGAGAACGAGAGAGAGAGAGAGACGAGCGAGAGGGTGAGAGAGAGAGAGACCAATCCATATATATATATATATGTATATATATATGTATGTATATATATAGAGAGAGATAGAAACATATGTGACGAGACAGAGACGGAGAGAGAGGGAGACAGAAAGAGAGAGAGAGAGAGAGACTGCGAGAGAGTGAGAGAGAGAGAGAGACAACCACATACACATATACACTTAGGGAGGTAGCGAGAGAAATAGAGAGAGAGAGAGAGAGAGCGAGAGGGATATATCCGGTCGAACATCGGTCGACCATCGGTGGCTGGGTACCGGTTGGTGGGGAGGACCCAGAGAGCCCGATAGTGGCGGAGCGGGGGGGGCAAGATTTGCCCGAACAATGTGAATTTTTTGTTGCCACATGTTGTGCGATATCGAATGTTGTCGTTCGAGGTTGCCATCTGCACCTCGCCGAGGCGTGCCACTCTGGGGGGACGGCGTCGTGGACCCCCCCCAAATGCTGTCCAGGCCAGCCCGTGTATTGACCGCAAGGTGAGCGGGCAAGCACACACACACACACATCTACACACGCATTTCCAGGTTCTTATGAGCGATGCAAAAGAAACGGGGTCGCCTGCGCCTACATTGGCGCGGAAGCTGACCGTGTAGGCTCGCGCGTGAGCGCCCTCGTCTCCACTGTTAGCGTGCCGCGCCAGCGGCCCGCGTGGGTCACCGCGTAAGGTCGCTGTGCCATCTCGCGTAAGACCTGTTTTTTGGCATCGCTCGGACGTGTGCATTTTTCCCTCGGCGAGGACCATCGAGGAGCATCCTTGATCATTTGGCGGAAAAACCACGCGCGAAACCCAAAAAAGTACAGGAAATGGACGTCCGAGCGATGGCCAGGTTTTGGATCGTGGCTCCCACGGTTTCTGTCCGCAGGGCACGGTGTCGGGGCCAGTGACTGTATTTGTGAGCATGCTCGCTTGGCGGGAGTCCGGTGCTTCGCTTCCCCCTATACGCGCCCCCTCCTCCCTTCGCCTCCTGCCCTCGCAGCTCAAGAGGGGGGTGGAAGCGGGGAAGGGAGAGAGGGGCACATGGGTGGAAGAGGGGGGGGGGGGCGGGGGGAGGGACGGGAGAGAGGGGGGGGGGCGGAAGGTGCCCCCTCCTTCCCGCCTCTCTCCCCTCTTCCCTCCGCCAGTCCCTCCTCCTTCCCGCCCTCCCCTCCCGCTCCCCATCCTCCCCTTCCCGCCTCCCTCCTCCCCTGCCCTTCTCAATGCCCTCCTGACCCCCTCATCCTCCCTCGGCGACCTCGGCGAAGGCAACGGCGATGACCACACGGCACGCGACGACGAAGAGAACGACGATGACGACAAGGATGACGACGACGACGACGACAAGTGCTACGACCAGGGCGACCACGCAGACGAATACGACGATGACGATCGCATCGGCAGACGCCGATTAACCGTCGAGGCCGATCCTGAGCAGGGCTCGCCCCAGCATCGGCGTGTAAACACATCTCTGCTGCCAGATCGGGAGGGCGCAGACACAGATCTGGGCCCAGGACCAGAGCCCTCCAGACGCCGATCCGTCGGCGACGACGGCGGCGTTGACAGCGACGGTGACGGTGACGTCAACGGCGGCGTCGACGTCGTCGATGCCATCGATGGCGACGCTGGCAGTGACGTCGCCGCCGACGATGACAACGGCGGCGAAGAAGGGCGGCGCCGGCGTCAGCAGCGGCGGCGACGTCAGCAGCGGCCGAGCATGTTGCGGTCCCTGCCTCGGGGAGGACGACGGCGACGACGACCGCGACCACGACGACGACGCCCCTGCAGACGGCGTCGTCGACGACGCCGTCGGGCGCCGACGCCGTCGGGCGACTTCGGCGGCGCCGTCGCGGTGGCCGAGGCGCGCCCCGCGCCGGGCGCCCGCGCCGCCGCGGCGCGGCCCGCCGCGCCCGCCGCGCCTCGGCCGCTGGCGCCGCGGGCGGAGCCGCCGCGGCAGGAGCCGCCGCACGCCCGCCCGCACGCCGTGGCCGTCGGCGGCGGCGGCGGTCGTCTGCGGGCGTCGGCGGCGTCGGCGTTGTGGTCGTCGGCGTCGTCGGTAGCGCCGGCGTCGTCGACGTCGTCGTCGTTCGGGTCGTCGGCGCCGCCGATGGCGTCGTCTGTGGCGTCGTCGTTGTCGAGGTCGACGCTGGCCTCCTGGTCGTCATCGTCGTCGACGTTGCCGATGACGTCGTCGTCGTCGTCGTCGTCGTCGTCGTCGTCGTCGTCCCGAGGAAGTTGCGACCCCCACCCTCCCTCCTCCCTCCCCTGTGCTTCCTGCTCCCGCCTCGCGATGGGGTCGCCCGAGACTCGCGAGCAGCTGGCAAAGCTTCCTGTGGCGCAGGCCGCGTTCGGCGCGGTCCTGGCGGCGGTGGCATGCCAGGCGGGTGCGAAGGCCCTCGTCACGGCGGTTGCGGCTGCGGCGCGCGGCGCCGCTCAAGGGGCGGGCGCATGCGCGGCAGGCGGCGACGCTGACGGTGGCGAGGTGGTGCAGCTGGCGAGGGTGCTCGATGGGGTGCTCGAGGCAGGCCAGCTCGCGACGCCCGTCACGGTCCAGTCCGCTGAGGAGGTGCTGAGGACCACTGGTGCACCCAAGCTGGCTTCCCGCGTCGGGAGGCTGAGCAAGCTGCGCAACGCCAAAGGCCGTCCAGACTGGGGCTCGAGAGGGAGGTTCGGGAGCATCTCGAGGGCTACCAGCTGGAGGCAAAGGAGCTGAAGCAGGTTGAGAAGAGCGGTGCCACCGTGAAGGACGCGGACGGGACCAGCAAGGCGGAGCAGCACGTGGAGGTGCAGCCCCAGTTGCATGAGGCGCAGCGGGTGGAAATGCAGCTGGAGGAGACGAACGTGGAGCAGCTGGAGGGCAAGCTCGTGCAGCTCCAGATTGAGAAGGGCGAGTTCCAGCGCGGGATGGACATGGCCTTCTCGGAGCTTGTGCAGAACGTCAAGATCCAAGAGGGCAAGAGCGACGAGTACCACCAGAAGATTGAGCAGCTGGAGGTCACGACCGTGAAGCTCCAGGAGGATAAGGGCGAGCTCCAGCGTGCCATGGACACGAACCGTTCTGAGATTTCGAAGCAAGTCCAGATCCAGGAGGGCAAGATAAACACTGAGCGCGAGGAGAAGGCAGCGCTCAAGCTGAAGATCCAGCTGTACGATAAGGAGATCAACACCTCGGCGGCGCTGACGCAGAAGGTGCAGTACCAGGAGGCCACGATCCAGAAGTACCAGCAGGAGACCAGCAGATTGTGCGGCAGAGTCGGCATGGCCAGTCCCCTCATCCAGAAGGTGCATTCGTGCCTGCCGATGTCTGAGGAGCAGGACTCGCTCGAGGAGGCCTTGTTCTATCTGAGGAAGGTCGAAGTCGATATGAAAGTTGATCCGAACGGGTAGTCACGGTGGCACGCCCTTGGGGGGTGCTGGACCCGATGCGGTTGCCCGTGAGGCAAGCATACCAGTAACTGTTACCAGTACCTGTCCTGAGGGCGCCTGGGGGCTCGGACAGAAAGAGCCCCTGGGGGCGCTGGACCCGATGCGGTTGTCCCCAGGGCAAGCACACCAGCGTCTGTCTGCCGCCGTGACGTGTGATAGCCGTGCATTGGGCATTTTGCAGCGCGCATGGGATCATTCCAATAGTTTATCACGACTGGCTGTCTGGGAGTATTGGCTCAATGTTGTTCTTCGTCGCTGGTGTCATCTACGTGGCGTCGTGGAGACTTTCGGCGACGAGTTCATGAAGTACATGTACTTCGCCACCGTTCCTCTTCGGAGGGCGCGACATCCCCTGAGGTGCTCGCGTTGGAGCCCCCGCGCCCGCGCGCGGCGGTTCGGCCCTGGGGGCAGACCCGCGGTTCGCGGCCCTTCTTCTTCTTCTTCTTCTCCCTCCCTCCCTCCCTCCCTCCCTCCCTCCCCCCCTCCCTCCCCTCCCCTCCCTCCCCCCCGCTCCCCTCCCTCCCTCTTCCCTCCCTCCCCTCCCCTCCCTCCCTCCCTCCCTCCCTCCCTCCCCTCCCCTCCCCTCCCCTCCTCCTCCCTCCTTCCTCCCTCCATCCCTCCCTCCCTCCCTCCCCTCCCCTCCCTCCCTCCCTCCCCTCCCCTCCCCCCCCCTCCCTCCTCCCTCCTCCCTCCCTCCCCCCCTCCCTCCCCCCCCCTTCCCCTTCCCTCCCTCCCTCTTCCCTCCTCCTCCCTCCCTTCCCCCTCCCTCCCCCCTTCCTCTCCGAGGCTCCCCTCCCTCGCCTCTCCTCTCCTCCCCCCTTTCCGCCCCCTCCCCGCCGCCTGCGGCCCCGCAGGCGCCCGCTCGCGTGCGCCTCCGCTGCTGCGGGCCGGCGGCCTGCTCCGTGGGCGGCCCCCCTCTCGGCGGGCCCATGGAGCGCTCGGCTTTGCCATCGGGGGCTGCCGCCGACCTCCTCCTCCCTCCTCCTCTCCTCCTCCTCCTCCTCCTCCTCCTCCTCCTCCTCCTCCTGCCCCTCCTCCCCCTCCTCCTCCTCCTGCCCCTCCTGCCCCTCATCCTCCTCCTCCTCCTCCTCCTCTTCTCCTCCTCCTCCTCCTCCTCCTCCTCCTCCTCCTCCTCCTCCTCCTCCTCCTCCTCCTCCTCCTCCCCCTCCTCCCTCCTCTCCTCCTCCTCCTCCTCCTCCTCCTCCTCCTCCTCCTCCTCCTCCTCCTCCTCCTCCTCCTCCTCCTCCCCTCCCCCTCCTCCTCCCCCCTCCTCGCCCCGGGCCCGCTCCGTGGGCGGTCCCCCCCCACAGGAAGACATGCACGAGAACGGTGAGGAACTCGTCGGGGGGCGATTTTCCGATGATGTTCTGCTTGTTCTGGAGTGCTTTCCACTTTTTTCTGCCGAGGCCTGCCCATAGGAGGATCTGCCCGATTCCAGTCGAGGATCGAAGATCGAGGGCCGCAACCTGACGTCGGTAGAACCCCCACCCTGCCAAGTCGGTTCGCGAATACAGTCGGGGCCCTGAAGAAGGAACCCTTTTCGTTGGGAAGGGGCTCCGCGTTCCTAAAGTGTTTCGCAGCTTGCCTCAGGCGTTCCCGATCGGAAATCGAAGTTTAACTTATGGGAAATAAGGGGCCTCGTTCCTTATTTAGGGTTCCTTAGGTCAACGTCCCGACTGTAGAACCCCCCGCTCTGCCAAGTCGGTTCGCGAATCGCACCCATCTCACGTCTGCGCAGAGCGCGGCGGCCGCAGTTTCTGTAGCGTGCCAGCGCCCGCCCGGGGGTCTGGTTCCGCGGGTCTCCTCCTCCTCCTCCTCCTCCTCCTCCTCCTCTTCGTCCTCTTTCCCCTCCTCCTCCTCCTCCTCCTCCTTCTCGTCCTCCCCCTCCTCCTCCTCCTCCTCCTCCTCCTCCTCCTCCTCCTCCTCCTCCTCCTCCTCCTCCTCTTCCTCCTCCTCCTCCTCCTCCTCCTCTCCCCCTCCTCCATCTCCTCCATCTCCTCCTCCCCCTCCGCGTCCCCGCGGGTTACGTTTCTGCCAGCCGACTTTGTATGATTGCGTCTTTGTCTGTCGACTTTTGCCTCAGGGGTCCGGTTTCGGTTCCGGGTCCATCAGAGATGAATCCGAGACGACTTTGGATGCTTGTTTGTTTTCCCCAGCCGACTTTGTATGCTTGTTCCTCTGGTTGTCTGTCGACTTTGGCCTCCAGGGGCCGTTTTTCGGTTCCGGGTCCAGCAGAGATGCCAGCAGAGATGGGTCCGAGATGGAGGCCACCCCCAGAGGGAAGGGGTCGAGTATTCTGGGGCCGCGGATAGAACAAAAAAGGTCGTCGGACGTCTGGGGATCGAGGATCAACTTCTGAGTTTTGTAGCCCATGAGTTTTTTTCTGGTTTTTATTGTCGGTTGGGTGGGGGCTTCTTTTGGCCTCGCCGATTCCCTTCCAAGACTCGGGCCAGAGCGGTTCCCAGATTGGGACTGGGGGTCTGCTTTTCACCTCCTGACCAAGACGCCCTCGCGTAATCAAAGCGTCAAGACGGAGTGTTGTTTGAAATCCTCCGCTTCCGGAGGGACCTTGGGCATGCTCTGGGACCGTCAAACAATGACCTGAGACTGAACTGGTCCTTGGGGATCGGGTTTTCCAGGGACCCGAATCGCAAATATCACGCCTTCAAGTTTTGGATTGATGATCGAGACTTCTGAACAAGGGTCGGGGCGAGGATCGAGGATCGCTGATTGTGCGAGGATCGTCGATGGTTGAGGAATGAGGTCGCGAGGATCGAGGAACGAGGGCCGCCATTGCACGAGGATCGAAGATCGGGGTTTTTGGATGTTTCGGGTCATTTTTGGGCTTCTGGCAGATGCTTCCAGAGATCCCCTGGGCTTTCTGGGGACACCCAGCATGCAGCAGATACATCGGGGGATTGTTGTTTTCATTATTGGCGTTCTTGGCGTTTGTTTTTTATTTTCGCTCGATTGAGTTTTCGTGGCGCGGGGCCATTCAACATCGGCCCGCGATGAGAATATGCCCTTGGGGAAGTTGTTCAGCTCCGGGGTCTACATATGAGGCAGTATCATGACGTCGTAGGTCTGAGTCCTTCTTTGTCTTCTTCTCCTTGTTGTTGTTGTTGTTGTTGTTGTTCTTCTTCTTCTTCTTCTTCTTCTTCTTCTTCTTCTCCTCCTCCTCCTCCTCCTCCTCCTCCTCCTCCTCCTCCTCCACCACCCATCTTCTCCGCCTCTCTCCTAGGTTTCTCATCTTCCTTGTCTCCCTCCTCTTCCTCCTCCTCCCTGCGAAACCCCCCACCTCCTTCAGCTCTTCCAGCACCTCTTAGTCTGGGTGAAGAGCACCAGCGCGGGGGGTCCCCGGGCCGGTGAGGGCGGCTGGCGAGGGCCCCCCCCCCAGAGGCTGAAATTGTGCAAGGACCTCCCGTCGTGTCTTCGCCACCGCGAGAGGATGCCTGGGGCCTCACAGGTTTTGCAGAGAAGTCGGGCCTGTCCCTCTTAAGGAGGAATATTGAAATATGAACAAAAAGCAGTATGGAAACTATTCTTGGAGTATTTTCTGACAATTTTGGAGTATTGTTAGATTCGTGGGGTAAAAGAAAATCGTCCCAAATTCCCCTGTAGGGGGTCATGCCCGACCTAAGTTTACCTCGAAGAAGAAACAAAAGCCATAAGCATCAACTTTTGGCGCTCCGCGCAGATTTCTCGGATCCACGCTGGGCCCCCCGGCGGCGCCTCCGGCGCCGCCATAGGCGCGCTTTGCGCGCCCGAGGGGGGGGGTTCAGCGCAGATCCAAGAAGTCCACGCGTGGCGCCAAAAGTTATGCTTCTGACGTTTCCCCCCCCCCCCCCCCCTCTTCTATTACCAGCCCGGAACACATCCCTGTCCGCTTTTCGGCTTGCCAATCTTAAGGATAACGATGCAGTCAAACTGCGTAGTAAGGATGGGGAACCTTCCCAAGGCTACCCCTGCATCCTTTCCCCTTCTGCCCATCCTTAGCGACCGTCGCTGGCCAACCCTGGTCGAAAAGCGCGAACCATGGCCCTTCAAGGCCCCTGCATCCTTGCCGCGCATCCTTATGATACGGGGTGACTGTAGGGTTCCTCCTCCTTCTCCTCCTCCTCCTCCTCCTCGTCCCCCTCCTCCCCCTCCCCCTCCCCCTCCGCCTCCTCCTCCTCACCTCCTCCTCCTCTTTCCTCCTCCTCCTCCTCCTCATCCTCCTCCTCCTCCTCCTCCTCCCCCTCCTCCTCCCCCTCCTCTCCTTCTCCCCCTCCTCCTCCTCCACCTCCTCCTCACCCTATCCCCTATCCCTATCCCTATCCCACAAGGGAAGAATAAGCAGCCTCGAGCGTGTCGAGCTCGAGGCTGGTGCTCTCCCCCCCCCTCTGCAAGAGGCGGGCCGCGCCGGGCCGGCGTCTGGCGCCTGGCCCTGCTGCTCCTGCTGGTCGCGCTGGCGCGGCTTCGCTGGCCGCGGGCGCCTGCAGCAGAGGCCGGTCGCAGGGAGCGGGAGGAGCAGGAGAACCAGCACTCCAGATTTCGTAATAAAGGGAGGGGGGTCTCATTTCGGGGGGGGGTCTCTTCCAGGCTATCTTGGAGGGTCTGGGGGGGTCTGGGGACGATGTTTTGGAGGGTTCTCCCACGGGGGGGTCTAAAACTTTTCGTCTGGGAGGGTTGAGACCCCCTCCCTTTTATTACGAAATCTGGAGTAGGGGAAGAATGACATAAGCATAAGCACAAAAACTCGGAGGTCCGCGCGGATTTCTCGGATTGGCGCTGGACCCCCCTTCCTGGCGCGCTCCGCGCGCCAGGGGCGGCGCCGGAGGCGCCGCCAGGGGGGTCCAGCGCGGATCCGAGAAATCCTCGCGGACCTCCGAGTATTCATGTTTATGCAAGTCTTCCTTCCCCTAAGGAGAACCAGGGGAAGGCGGAGGAGGGCAAACGAGGGGTGCGACAACGACAGGGGGGCACATGAGGAGGGGGTGGCGGACGAGCAGGAGGATGGGCGGGAAGAAGAGGAGGACGAGGAAGGGGGGAGGGCGAGGAGGAACAGCAGCAGCAGCAGCAGCAGCAGCAGCAGCAGCAGCAGCAGCAGCAGGAATGGCAGTGGAAGGAGCGGGAGAGGCAGGAAAGCCAGGGGAGGGTGGAGGAGGGTGAACGAGGGGGGCGGCAGCGAGGAAGACTGGCCCGGAGTCAGAAGACATTGGCCCGCGCTGGGGCGAGGGCACTGTGCCGAGCGACGGGAGCAAAGCGCCGATCCGAAAGTGAAGCCCACGCTGCGACTGGAGCACCCTTCTGAGAGACCGAAAAGGCGACCTGATGGTAAGAGGCCGCAGGAGAGACAACATCATCAAATATTGTGTACAGTGGGGGCG